CGTGCTCCTTGGGAAAGTCTGGTCCCCAAAACCACACAGAGAGAAGAAGAGAGGAGGAGATTGGATTTATACCCTGCCCTTCGCTACCCAAAGGAGTCTCAGAGCGGCTTACAAGCTCCTTTCCCTTCCCCTCCCCACAACAGACACCCTGTGAGGTGGGTGGGGCTGAGAGAGCTCTGACAGAAAAGGTTCTTTTTCAAGGACAGCTCTTATCAGAACTACGGCTTGCCCAAGTGGAGGAGTGGGGAATCAAACCCGGTTCTCCCAGATTAGAGTCCGCGCACTTAACCACGACACCAAACTGGCTCTCACACCAAACTGGCTCTCAAATGGGGGAACGGGAACAAAGTTTCCAGTTTCTCTACCGTTTACTTTCAAAAACCCACTCGAGGATTACATGCTGCCTCAGGGCATCCTCTCCCCCCCCCTCCCGCAAAGCAGTTTCCTTCTGGACGAAAACAGTATTTATTATTTATTTCACCGTTGCTGTCCTTTTCTTTTTTAATTATTTTTTAAATTTTTGTATAAGAGCAATTAACATTCAAAACATTTAACAATTAACAGCCACAGAACAAGGCTTAGCTATACAGTAACACTTAGAAAATGCTTATTTGGTTACATACGATGAAACACTTCATAGTACTTTGTAGGAACTGTGAATTTAGAAGCCTCAGCGTTAAACACAAACTCAAGAAAGGGAAACCATTTCAAATGAAGATTCGATTTCTTATGAGGAAGACTGGCTGTGGCAATTACATCAGATATTTTATCCATAATATAGTATGCTTGGCGGAACATCTCCGCCTTGCAGGCCCTGTGGAATTGTAACAAGTCCCGCAGGGCCCTGATGTTAGTAGGCAGAGAACTTCACCAAGTAAGAACCAGGACCAAGAGGCCCTGGCTCTAGTTGAGGACAGCCGGACAGTCTTTGGGGCCGGGGACTTCCAGTAGGTGCTGGTCTCCTAAGTGGGGGACATACCAGCTCCTTTAGAAGAGAGAACTGACAGAGAATTATTTAGCTTTTTCTCCCGATGCCATTTCTCCACCCCAAACTGCCATTCTCCTCCCGCCTAACCAACACTCAGAATGCCGGTTTGTGTGTTCACTGGGTCGGCAAAGCCACTTTCAGTGAAAACAGGTTTCTCAGAGCAAAAGCGCACAA